CACAAATCTCCACAAGATTGAGCGGCAAACCATTGCAATGACAAAAGTAATTTGCTTTTAAAGCAGCACCGACTGCAGCATCGTGCGAAGGCAATTTAAATATGCATGGGCCATTATGCATAAGCGATGCAGTTTCTCCATACTCGGATATATTTGTGCACAGAGGGAAAATTGCAGTATCAATATAGTCCTAGATGGAAGATGTAAATTACCGTCTCAATGTGGGTTATATGAAGTAGATCAGAATATTTAAGTCGAAATACACGTAGTATCAATTGGAATGCGGAATATGAAAGGAGCAGCCTTCAAAGATGACTACTTGCCTTGCAGTGTACTTGTACTTACGTGTGTGTGTCGTGTGTGCCACATGCAACTCCCCAGTCGCATTTAGTTGCGCATTCGAGCAAACCCAATGGGGCTCTCCACTGACCCACTAAAGTCGCCTGCTCGGTTCACGGACTCCAGGGACCTGATGCTGTAACTAATTCCGAGCAAAGCCCATTCGATGTGGCATATTTAAAACTTCATTTACATGGCTGTCCTCTGCCCGGTTAAACCCTAACCTTTAGACCCTCTCGCTCGACACTCGACCCACACCCCCACCCCCTCGCCCGTGCTGACCCCTTCTCTTTCGGGCTTTAAGTCTCGCTGGCAGCTGGTTCCAAGCGGAGCACTTTGTCATTTTCAGTTTGTCACACTTTTGCCCAAATAAAATTTCATCGCCTGTCATAAAGCCTTGCGAGGCAAGTGTCACAAGTGCTTACAACTCAAGGAGGTGCATGGCTCGAAGAGTGGGGGAGAGGGACAGCACCACAGTTAGGTAAGAAGTGAAGGAGACAGCACTCAAAACTGCTCAAGTGGGCCAGACCCAAAAAGAAATGTGCCACATGAAATTCGTCATGAGCAGAAATCAAGACAACGTGGATATAATATAAAAGGAAATACCTTTTAAAGCCGATTGCAGAAAATGAATATTAGCAGATTTTAAAATCTATGATTATATTATTATTCAACGCGGGCTAACAATATCCACATTATAGTAGAGAAAACACTTGAAATATATCTAAAACTTTGCGACTCTATTGCAGTTCACTTTTTAAGTCGGACTCTTTCCTTTGATGTTTGCACCATAAAACATGCTCATCAACACCTTGGCTATCTTCTATATTTATCGGTTATCTCGTATATCACTGGCTGCAGAACCAATTAGTGTTTACCCCACCCAATAAATATGCTTGCCGCTGTCAACAATTGATACCCTCATAAAAGGGAAACAGAAATTGCTCTACCCCCAATAGATAACATGCACCTTATGCAATAAATGTTTGCACAGAGAGTCTGGCGCAAAAGTTTGGCATTAGCTGCCGTATCCAAGCCAAATAACTGTCAGGGCTAAGACAATAGGAAGGACAGACAACAGACAGGTCAGACATCCCCGGGTTGATAGGAAAATTGGGGTGTGGCTAATGGCGATCGCAAGAGGGGAGCACCAAAAGTTGCTAGTTTGACAGCCGCAAGACAGCTGTCTGTTGGAAAAAAACCCACATATACGATACGGGGTAGCAGAAAAGGAAAACAGCAGCTACAACATAAATTTTGATTTGCTTGCCTGACAGTTGCCCCCGAATTTCACACGCATCCCACAGCCACCAAAGGTCGGGCACCATTTTCCTATTAGCTCAAGTGAAAAATCGCTGCAAAATTGGTGTTTGGATGGTGAGGGGGCTGAATTTACTGGACAGTAAATCAGGCAGGCATTCCATATGCCGCAGAACATATTTCATGGCAGACCAGGGAGTATTTCAAATGCCCATTATGGACCAGTAACTTTTCCAATTAAAAGCGAAAAAACTTTTGCCTCCGGAACTCGCTGGTCGAAGTTTCAATTAAAACCATGACTGGCTAAGCTGGAATAAAAAAAGCTGGCCAATAAAAATGGCCATCGAATGATATTACCGATTTACCTGCGCGCCTTTCTTGTCTCTAAATTAAGTTGAATGACTTTGAAGCGACCACGTGGCGTATGCTTAATTATCGCAAATCGTTTTCAATTAAAGTGCCATGTTAAAGGCCCGAAGTCTTAGCAAACGCCACTTTGGCTTATCACTCCTACCACTATCTCTATTAGTTCCAATGCCTTGGCCACCTTTTCTTATCACAAACAGAAGTTTGGCGACGACACTCGGCTTCATGGTATTCGGGCTCGTGGCGTCTTTGTTGATAATTTCACTTGAACAGCTTGAAAATTTGTGGGTTTGATTGACAGTCGAGTGCCGGCCAAGGTAAACAGGCCTTTTGTCCCAACGACTCAACTGTTTAAACACAGTTTTCATTTCTCGTATTTACTTTTATTGATATGCGTATTTGTGCTCTTAATTTATGTATTTCGGTGGAGTTTTTTGACCGTGACATATTTTCTTGTTTACTTTCCAGCGAGGCGGTTAAAACGGGGGCAGTGAACCAGGGAAAAGTACGAGTATATTACTCCCAAAAAGAAACAGACACCGATGATAATAATAATGTTCAAAATTTCACTGTAAATATTAATAGGGAACCATGCGATTATTAAATAAAGATAGTTACAGAATACTTTCGTAGGTATAAGCTCACGTTCTTTTCACCTAGCAGCAGATGCTCTAAAGGCTTTCATTTGGCACAACCTTTGACTGCAAAGCCTTTCATCTTTCTTCCAGAGCACCCACAACTTTTATCCTCAATTAGGATTTATCATTTCCCGCAAGCGTTTTTCATTTTACACTAGTTTTCCCGCATTTTCCGCCCTCCGCCCCCCAAAATGCCAACTCTAACTAGTTGAATGCAATCAACACGCTCGCAATTAAATGCGACAAAGTGCAGACTTGCAAATGTGGTTGTTGCTGCAGTTTGTGGCTAACCCGTTCCGCCCACAGTTCCAGTTGCCTCGGCATGTACCGCTCCGCCCCCCATTTTCCTACCTCCCCCCTCCCCTAACACAAAAGCGACAACTGTCAGCGGGGCTGTGGCACACATTTACATGCCTCCGGTATCCACCCTCCCCCTGTGGCGCCTCCTCCTTGCGGGCTGGCGTGTGAATTTAATTTGTGCATAATTGCAATTGCAACTGCTATTGCTGTGCTGCAGCCATAAAATGTCAATATCACATTGTAATCATCAACGAGAAATGTTTGCTGCGGCCCAAGTGTTTTCTTTTCACTCTGACAATTTGTTTTTCCTTTTAGATAGGCCTGCGAACAGGCAGACACATGAGACTTTGGACATTTAGACATGAAAAGGGGTTGGAAAATCGGGCCAATTGCCGCCCGACTGATATCAAGTGCGTAGGAAAACTGCTGTGGACAGATTCGAAAAGTAAAGCAATTTAAAAATTAAGTTTTCAACGCCAAGTGCTGGAGAAACTATTTTATGTTGTTGTCTGGACAAGAGCAGGGATTTAATGGATTGCAATTTGCATATGTGAATCAAATTTATGCGAATATATTTAGTGCATATGAAAGTGGAGTGGAAAATGTATGGCTTATTTGGGTAACGCACTATTATACAGCATAATAAAAATGATGCTTTTAACATATTTCATTATATCTAGAGCTATAACTTATCCCTCTAATTTGATTCATTTCAGAACCATCATGCGCCAGACTCAACGAACGCAGCATAGCGAAATGTCCAAGCAAAACGGATTCCAACAGCAGAAGGCCGAAATCAGCCGACGCACCAAATAGATTGGCAATAAAAAGTTAAACAAATTAACCAAGTGGCTTACACAACCCAAAGGAGCACACTTTGAAGTGGGGAAAAAATACAGAGAGATACCCAGCGAATAGAACGGGCAGGAGCACTCCCAGAGGAGCGGGAGTAGTAGGTTGGTTTTTCGTGGATCGAGCGATTGAAAGCCGTCAAAATTACGACGTACCACCCACCCACGCCCAAAGTCAAACAGAACCCGGCCAATACGGACCCCATGTCCGGGCCGGGGGCGTTTGACGATGAGCCGCCGCCGGAGCCGCGGGACGGATGGCTACTGGTGCGCATCCATGTGCCGGAGCTGAATGTCTACAAGTGTCTGCAGTTCCCATCGGAGCGGCTCGTCTGGGACGTCAAGCAGCAGGTGCTCGCCTCACTGCCGAAGGTAAGTCGGTCACTGTCATTACCACGGCGATACCCATTATCTTTCCGGTGTATTTAGAGCAGGGCATGTCTCATCTGCGCTAAATACTCACTAAACGGGTAGAAATACATCCACTTAGTGTTGAGCTCTGCTGAAGCGAAATGTTCACTTGTATACGCTACATGCATGATTTTATTGGGCACATCAAGTGCTTGCTCCATATTCTAAATTTGTAAATATTATATCGTCGAAAGCATATGTTTCACGCTCAAAATCCCGGGTACTACACATATCCGGTTTCCAACTCATCATCGTAGGCGAAGAGCAGTTCTATGTAGTAGGACCAAACCACAAGCCAGGCATACAGTAAAATAACTATAAGGGATTCAAGAGACTAGTTATTCAGTATATATTATTCAAGTAGTACTCACCCATTGTGATGACAGTCAGGATGATAATGACAGTATTAAAGGAGTAAACGGTCAGGGCAAAAATGTGCACAATTATCCAAATGGGCGCGAAACCCAAAAATGGAAGAAAGAGCATCTCGTTGTTCTAGAAAACGATGAGGTATTATTAGCTTAAGGTGCTCTAATGGGTGGGTATAATTTCAAATGATTTCAAATGGGCGTCACATACATTATGCACTCCAATGCAGAGCATGGCCGAAGCTATGATGCCGAAGAAGGAGAAGACCATGGTGGCCTTGAGGGCCGCCGGTGCTGGGATCAGGGACTTCTGGTACTCGTCCGGAAAGATGCACTCCATCATGAAGCCGGTGCCGATGGTGATGTAGATGAACCAGGTCAGAAAAATGCATCCGAAGAGCAGCACGCCGAATCGCAGTGAATAGCAGTAGCAGCACTTAGTAAAGATCTGTTTAAGATATCTGCAGCGACAAGCCATGATCGATCCTCAGTTGCTCTACAAATTTGTAAACAATAATTTTCAATACTTTCTTGGAAAACTGAAATTTGTTCAACTTCTAGTTTGTGCAAAAGGGACACACTGAAAGAAGTTGACTAGATCAGGAACATCAACTACAGGAATTTAGCTCCACGTTTATTTAACCACTCGTCAAATTGCATCATCAGAAACCACTGTACTCAAATATCGGTAATAAGCCAGCACTATCATCAGGGAATAAAGCAGGCCAACTAAGGGGATACAAAATCAAGTCCTTATATTATTCAGTCAAATAATGCCAACACCCACGTATGATGACCAGCTGAACAACCAATACAGCCGGGGCAGGTTTCGCAATGGCCACATCTACAATACCCATTATGCAATACAAGAAGAGTATGACTGTATAGACGATGATCCACATAAGGACAAAGCCACGCTTCTTTTGCTTTTTTCATTTCAAATCATAAGAATAAGAATAAGAACAAGAATAAGAATACTTCGAATTTGGGAAATAACCGAATGAATGTCTTACCTTCGAAGCAGCGTACACTAGCAGTACAGAGCTCAGAGTTCCAATAGTTAGGATCGGAGACATGATGAGGGGTGCCCAAATTTTGTGGGACACTTGCCTGATGAAAATGGTGTTATCCGAGTGCGCTATCAGCTCCCCAACGTGAAAAATTATAAAGATCGCCCCAATGATTATGACACCTACTTTCAGGGGCAGGCAGAAACAGCACTTCCTACAAATCATGACGATATATTCTTTGAGGCGAAAACAAAAATTTGTATATTTTTCAATGTATTTTGATCAAAACATCAGAATGCTGGGAACAGTTGATCGTTGATTTTGTAAGTAAGTTATATACCATATTTGATAATGGGCTATAATCTGAGTGCAACTCAAAATTGAAGGGCTAAAAACACAATCAAACTACATTTTTTGCGTTGACCCACACAAAAAAGCAATTACTGCGGAATCGCAATGCAATATTTCACCAGATGTTGTTGATTGAAATTTGTATGCAGCCAAAGGCTGCCACGTGCCCTTACAACATAAAACCGGCCACGCCCCCTCTGCTGCCCTCGAATGGCTGCAATATGCCAAATGCCCTCGTGAAGTTTCAATTTTTTGAAGTTCAATGCAATTTATCGGCAACTGCAGTGTCTGAAGTCGTGCGCCCAGTCGGAAATCGTGACGCTGCAGATCCAAAGATATTTGACAATTGAATGGCAGTCTGTCAAGGAAGGAAAAAAAGTACCAGCTACAAGAAAGATTGGATTTTCAATGGCTAAAGGATTCGGAACCTTTGCGTTGATTGGTAATCAAAGGTGGAACATATTACCCTTTCTTGCTACGCTGTTCAGAATGTAAGTAAATGTTGAGCCAGAGGGTCATGATCAGCTGTTAATAAAGAGGAGAACCCTTAACCTTTGCCCTTATAATGCCCCCAAATTGGGTACCGGATGAGGGGAAGGAAAGGGACTTCCCCGCTCCATTGTGCTAATGAAAGCCAAACAATGGTCAATCAATTGTATACATTTAATCGCAATTTGCTCAGCAAATTGCTGTCGAAACATTGTCAAGCGTGAATGCGATGCGGGGGCCTCGCCCAATTCAATATTGAAACCGCAAAATTGCAAACGGAAACTCTGGGCGATACCCAAACTGAAACCGAACTGGAAATCGCTCTGGAATCGCTTCGATTCGATTCGAATCGAACTGAACTGAACTGAACTGAACTTCGCTGAACCGAACACAATGACCTCCAGCTAATTGCATGGCCCGGTCTTTCGTGCCGGTTCCGTTTTCATTTTGGCCAAATTCAAATGCAACGCGGCAAGTGACAGACACGGCCTTGTTATTGGCTTTTTGGCAAGGGGCGTGGCGCTCTGGCTTGTAGCTTAGTAAATTATGTTGTAAATTCTGATCGGGTGTGGGAACCGAAAGCTGAGCGTGCTAACCATTTTTTTGGGCATATTTGTTTGTAGGGATAGATGCATATATGCATAGATGCATATGATGACACACATTTGTTTCTCGGCATTGCGTCTATGGTTTATCGAAGCTTGTTGTTTGGTTTTCGAATACATTCATTTCGCCATAAATATGTTGTAAATATAAGAGGGAAAGGGTTAGGTACAATGTGAACAATACGTCTTCAATGGAAGAACTTGAGCCATGGAGCTTGAACTCTTTCATATTCCTTTGACTTATTCCACCTGTTTCCATCTGCTAAAAGTAGAAAGCATATCAGGTTATCAACACTTTTCCTGCTTCCACAGTCGTATATCAATCAGTGAACTGGCCGCATATCTTATCGCCAGGTTACTTTGCGACCGAACATAGACTCAAGTAGGGCGTCATAAAGAATACGATTCATGCTATCATCGCACAAATATTTGCAGTCCAATTGAGGTCTCTTTCCTCACGCTTTTTGCTCAACCCATTGTGAGCCTTCGATAACTGAGGAATGGTTGAGTAAATCCCGAAGACTAAGACAAACCTGAGTGGTAGTAATTTCTCATTTTATCGGTCGTCGCCCATTATCGGGACACCTGACAATGGCGTCTGGTTCCATAATGTATTATTAGGTCTGGTGCGGAATTCGCTTGCGATGACCGATCCAACTTCACACCAGCAATCATTCAATCAATCCGTCTGTCAGTCAGTCAGTCACTCAGTCAGTCAGACAATCAGTCACTTCGCCAATATGTCACTGCTCCAGTTTGCAGTTGAGTGTGAGCCGCACTGGCATCCCAACTTCCGCCTGCTAATCAAATCGAAATTAAAGCTTTTGTGATCCGTATTCGATGGATTTTTCTTCAGTTTCTGGGTGGGCGTTACTTACCGGTTTGCGTCTAAGTCGTTTTGCTTGTAATACTCAACGGGCTTTGCTTGGCCCGAAGTTCAGGTCGGTTAATAAACTACTTGGCTCGTGGCGATAAGAAACCAGTAAGGAAAGCTTAGCCGCATATGGATTTCTCGGTGCCTCATTTTTCGCTCAAAGGTGGCAATGGAAAATACGTGTAGGGAACGTTTTTAGTGGCATTACGATAAGCGAACGATGTGTAATGGTAATTGAAAATATTCCGACGGTTTCAGAATTATTTCAAGATTAATAGGAATATCCAATAGGCTCTTGTGAAATATACTGCAAAAAGCCTAGCCCACCTTAGCCATATCTTAAACATAAAGCGGAAGCAAGAAAGTTTTTCTTAAATTTTTAGCAAAACTTTGCCATAACTACAACTTCAAGCAAGTTGAATGAAGTGCGCGCAAATTCGCACAATAAATCAGGGAAAGACTGAAGCTCGTTTCAAATGGGATTTCAAATCGAATGCTCCTAACTTTCCAAAAAGGATAGGCAGTCACCCAGACGGACTGGATAACCCAAAGTGCACGAGGCAAAAAGGAGAAAAAATTGCTTTTAGCCAAGCGAGCCAAGTGAGCAAATGTGGTCAGCGAAAGCGTATATGTGTGCTCACTAAAAGAGATATTCGCGTTAAAGCCCGTTACTTGCGAACGACGCAGCTTTAATCAATTGAAGGCATTTTTCAGACAGAATAATCACAATAAATCTTGAACTGAAACTGCCCAGAAAGCCACAATGGCAATTAGGTTTTGGTTAATGGGCAATGGCTCAATTAGGCCAAGTTAATGTGTAGTTTCAAATCACAAGTGGAGACTTGACTCCCATAGTGTCTTTCGGGGGATTTACTGTGAAAACTTTTGGCGTTGCCTCCCAAAATGTTCAAAATGTAGTCATTTCGCCGAGCACTTGTATGTGCATATACTGTAGGGAAAACACCCCCTACTTCTTAGCCCATCCAATCTCTAGACGCTCGTTAGATTTAATGACGCCGCATAGTTTGCGCACGCACGACATCATTTCAGCGACTTTAGCCCCTCTTTGGCTCTTCCCGCCCTTCAGCTAAAGTGGCATAGAGACCCACTTGCAGGACCCATCATCTGCGTCTATATCTGTATCTGGGGGGGCATTGTGCCTTGTGCCTTGTGCCTCTCCATTGAACCGTAAATTTGGGTGAGAACTTTGGCTCGCATTATTCATTCTGGGTGGCCGCCCCGCCAAACGCCAGAATGTCACATACTTTTGAGGAGAACCTCGCTCCCTACGGAGGGAAACGCTTCCTGCCGGGAGCTGAAAGCATTGTTAGCGGCTATAAAGATGCTGCCGATATAGAGCACCCTGCACTCGATTGGGTGGGTAGTCCTTGGCTGGGATTGAATTGAATTTTGCACCAGCAGACAAGGAGCTGGGCACAATGAAGTGGTAAAGTTTTATAACCATTTGATGGCGTAGCGAACAATGGGTATGTGTTTAAGGCATGGAAAAAGGTCATGGCATGTAGTATGACCGCATAAATATTTCTGTATTCCTCGCGCTGTATGCAAATTTAAATCAACGCAAAAAATAAAATCGCATCACAACATGTAGCCATCATAAAGTGTACAAAGAAAAAACTGAAATGAATTGAAATTCATGAAAAAGAGTTTTATGACATTTTTGGCTTGCTCACGCTGGCTTACATTGCGTATGCGTGATATGCAAAATATATGTAGGCTAAACATGTAAATGCCATCATTATATACTTATATAAGTGTGTACATAACAAAAAGTACATTTACATGCATAAAACAAGAACATTGTTATGCCGCATGACTCGCCACTGGAACATCCAACATGGCCAACAGCGACAAGATTTCTCGTTATTAATTAAATTGTTTTGTTTTCATTAATTTCGGTGCTGCGCTGCTGGCGTTTTTTATTTAATTAAATGCCAAACAAATTACAAATTTACACGTGAACCAAAATAAACAAACGCCGACAACATTGGATGGACGCAACAAAATGTTAAATGGAAATGCCATGTGCCCGCCGCAACCCACTCGGCGTATACGCAATGTGACCTGCTGCATTGCGCTGGAATCGATAATCAAATAAATACTGATTGCATTTACACGCCCCAATATTTGACTCGCATCTGATCGGATATCTTGTGCTGGCGGCGATGCTTTCATCTTCTGGAAATCGCTGCGATTAATTGGCTCAGGTGGCCTTTTGGTTTAAGGTTGGTGGCCGGCTTTAAAATACCCAATAATAACCGCACATATGCAAACATAATGCCATGAATTATGCCTTTCCGCAGCACTTGAGGGAGTGCTTAATTGTTCGGAAACGCAGAAGTTACGGTATCAATTTAATGAGGGTGTAATAAAATGCATATTTTATTTTTAGCACAGCAGATTGGGATTATTAGTGTTAAAATCTCACTTATTGCTATGCAATATATTAGTGTCTAAACCGTTGAAACTTAACTTATGAATTTCCATTAGGAGGCTATGAATTTCCATACGGGGTTCAAACTGCAATATTTATTTTATTGCAAATACATGTCTTAAGTTGTTTAACGACATGCTCGTTTCGAGCGGCAATAAATTTGTATTAATTTTTAAGTTTAATTTTAATTTTAATTGACACGAAACCCGCAGTGACAGCCGGTTGAACACCTACGCAAATATTTGGTTGCACGTTGCAACACTCGCTTTTCGCTGTTTTTCCTGCAGCGAGGAGACAACCAGGCAACTTCACATCCAACTACGAAATGTGTCAAGTACAGCAAACAGTTACAGATTTATGGCTGGAAGTCGGTGGACCCCTCTAACGCCTCCAACGCCACCAACACCACTGAAAAACACACGCGACCAGGAACGGTTTTCCATCTATTGAAAACTGCACACCCCCCTCGGACTGCCAACTCCTCCCTTGTAATTCAATTAAAATGCAAACGAAAAATAAAAAATAGGGGAAAAAAGG